TGTGCTCACTTCCGCTTGGTGCTGGCCCACATTCATTATTTTTGCAATAATATTTTTACTTCATAGTTCAGCGGCAAAGAAGAAAGAGAAGAATAAAAACTGAGATGTGAATGAAACTGCAACCGATTTTCACTCATTTTACGGAAACGGGCATTGAAATATGCCTTTCAATGCGCCAAAAAAGATTTTTTTTTTTTTGAAAAAGAAGAAAAAGAGCCAGAGTAGGAAAAAATGCAATGCAAGGGCCATAAAAAATAGAAGCGAACACAGGCAGCGAAATTTCAATTTGGTTTAAGCAGAGACCAATGATGTGCTTATGCGACACCAGTCAGCCAAACAGCCGCCCAGCCACCCCAGCCCACCTAGCCACCTAGCCACCTGAACTGCCCAAGCCATCTGGCCAACAAACCACCTTACCACCTAACCACCTTGCCTCGCCTTGGCAACATTGTGAGCAGCTCAGCGGCAACTTCGGAAACCTCTTGGCCAACAGCAATAACAACTACTAAGCTGACCGCTGTTCGATGTTTGAAGTCTATTCAGTCTTTTTATCCACCTTTTCCATATCTTCTCCGCTCTCCCTCTCTCTCTCTCTGTTTATCTCTTTCTTTTGCCTGCGTCTGCATAATTTAGCCAGCTCAACAGTGCGCTGCATTAATATTGAATTTGTACAATAATCCTTTTTATGTGTCTACAATAAGCGTTAAGTGTGCACCACCCACAACCTACCCCACCCTACTCCGCACCACCCACCACCCACCACCGCCTTTATGCAAGTGCTAGCTGCGTGCCACAAGCCTTTATGTACAGCTCAAGCGAACTGCATTCGCCGCCATTCGCATTCGCATTCGATTCCGCTTTATTATTATAGTACGTCATTTCTTTTGGCTTTGGCTGAATGACGCTGCAAATGCCATTGCCAATGTGGTTGTTGTTTTCATATATACCCTGTGCGCATTTGCTTTTGAGAAGGGTACTATGGCTTTTTAATTCTGAATGTAACATCCACAAAGAAAAATGCCCATAAAATGGCCTGAAATAAAAACAAGAAAGGCCTTCAAACACATGAGCATTGAACGCATGTGACTGTAATTTAAATAACAATTTTCATGATGTTCCGGAGTTATGGAAACATTACTAAAAATAAAAGGCAGCAAAGAACACTTACTTGTTCTACTTAAGGCTTAGGGGAATATTGATACAAATATAGATTAATCTATACTTTTCGAAATACGTAGTTACGGCGTAAGCAAGGGAACAGAGGGTCGAAGAGAAGAAGTCGGTAATCAGCGGTCGTCTTATAAAATTAGTCACAAAGACTTAAAAGAGCAATCAGATTAAACGAACTATTGTACTAACGTATATTAATTAATTATTATATTAATAATTATTGATTAAAGCATAACTTTTCTTAACTGAACTTTACTAATATATGTAAAGTATACCCTTTTACCCTCTGGGTATGGGATCAGAAAACAGCATAATTTTTTCCCCAATTCTATTTTTTCTTTAGAGGTGAGATTACAATCGTCAGTACATCGAACTTCTTATCAGTTTTTAATCCTAAAGATTTTAATTTAGGCACTTAAAATTAACTTTAAAGAAAACAGGTCATCATCTTAATCCTCCTATCCTTATGATGCATTTTGTTAACTTCCTTTCTAAAGAACATTTCTTGAAAGCAACGTCTGGCCTTTGTTAATAAGCAGTTGCTTAACAATCTTAACGAAAATACAAGCTTCCTGGTTATTTAGAACTCAAAACAGGCAAACGAAGTGTTCGCATTTTCTAGATTATAGAGTCTACAATAGCAAGCAACAACGTGACCGAATAAGTGATTGTCGAAACCCTACTGTATTTGTTTTTTGATCAGAATTCCGAAACCAGTACATTTTTGACAAATTCGTACAATCATACATAAAGTATGTCCATCTTTCCTTATTAATGCAAAAGGGACCTCAAAATACAAGAAAAAGGAATGAATTGCAAACGGAAATAGTCGCAAATAAAGTAATGCCACCATAAAAACAATACATTAAGTAAAATCAATTTATGCAAAGTAGAAAAACCGTTTAATAGATTTATATATTCTTTTGGAATTATAGAAATACTAATATTTTTAATGCATCGACTATACCAGGAATGGCTTAAAAGAAACAATTCTTAAACACTTTTAGGGATTGAATACTAAAAGTATAATAATAATACGAGTGTTTGAATATTTTCCAAATCAGATGCATGTAGAAAATGCTCTCTTTTATTTTGCATTGAAGCTGCGTAGACTCCATGCTTTCGATCTAGTAACATTTCCTGCAATGGTCTGGTTTTTGTTCATCAATATTCAATGCAATGAAGTAGCGGTTTGCCAGCCACAATGCAGGATTGTTTTAAGTATTTTTTAATATCCGTTTATTTGTTTATTTCTTTCGAATTGTGTCACCAATGAGTTAAACATAGTTTCAAAATAATGCTTACTACATGCCATGTCTTATAGGGTATTTATTCCTTTCCATAGCCTAGGTAAGGTGTTTGTTTTTAAGTTGATTTTATTTTTGTTGTTGTTGGTATTGCCAACTAGTGTACGCCGCATTAAGCCCAGGCCAGCGGCAGCCTTTGATTATGAAATTGCAGCGAAGCAAGTGAGAGTGCCGCGTATTTTGCCAGCAACTGCATTTATTTGTAAGTCTCTGTGCATGTGTGTGTGTGAATGCGAGCATGTTTGTGATTTTTGTTTGTTTGTTTGTGTGTATATATATATATACAAGTATATATATATATGTGAGTGTGTGTGCGTTCACTAAAAGTGTTTGCTGGCTGCCCACAGTAGAGTAAAAGAAGCAACCCGAAGCAACTACTCGGCACATTCCGCATTCCACCAACTCAGCACTCCTTTTTATTGCTGTTGACTAACAAAATGCTCTTGCCGCTCTGTGCATGTGTATGTATGGATGTTTGTATGTACATACATAAGTGTGTATGGTTGTGTGTGCATTTTCATGGGGTGGCAATTTTTTTAATGGAATTGCTTTGCTTTGCCACCGCTTTGATTTGCAGCGCAGTAAGCTACTGCTGATTATATTATTCGTGTATTTTTATTTTATTCTTGTGTTTTTTTTTTTCACTGCATCTTTGCTGCTGCTGATGATGTTCGAGCATTATTAGAAATTAATTTACTTAAGCCGACAAGCAACAAGAAGAAATAAACAGGCATGCTCGTACTTTGACATTGCCATAGCAACCAATAATTATATGGATGCGATAATGTTTACATTACGCATACGCAACGTACTATACGCCTCAAAACGCACTCAGACGTAACAACAGACGATTCGTAGACCACAAATAGAAAAGAGTTAAACCTGTCGTTGGCAGCCCGCCAAACCTTCAATTAGACGCTGTGCGTCTTCAATGCCATCGCATGCCCGACTGCCTCTGAGGTTTTCGCTCTATTTCTATTTGGGAACGAGATGCGTTTGCCAATCAAACTCGGATTGAAAAATACGGCAATGTGCTTACATATCACATAATTACGCATTGCCTAGCTCTAGGTAGACAAAAAAGAACAATATTCTGCCTCTATGTACTATTACTATAAGCATTACTGCATTTATGTTGAAAAATCAAACTTTACTTACACTATTTCAGACTAAGTTAAACATTATTTGCGAGACACACAAATTTGTTACATTTTACGGGTGTGCCAGCAAGTCAGTTTTTTTTCTGTCACAAAAAAATATCAATGCTACTATTGCTTGTTTATTATTAAAGATTTCGTAAGATTTTCCCCGTCAACCATTCGTCGCCAACCACATTTATTTATTTATTTATTTATAAGCCTTATCCTAGCGTTACAAGTATTGGATTACTTTTAAATTATTACGCTAGTTATTACAAATTTAATCATATTGAGCTTATTATTATTAGGTTATTTTCTTAGTTTTATTTTTAACATTCAGAATGTAATGATATATTATTGAATTTTATAAAATTAATCTGCCCTGGAAGACACTATTTCGGCACCATTTTTGTTTACCATAAATATAGAACATTTCAAAAATCGTATTTTCTGACCGTTCTCGTTTTCGTTCCAAATAGTTTCAATATATCTTGGGACTCAGTAGGAATGTTCTGAATGTATATTCAAATCGAACAGAAGCCTTTGTGGCGGTTGGGGTGATGGTTTGGGGTGCATTTCGATTTAAAATGTACTCAGAAATCAAATCAATTCATACAGGATACTTAAGTCCCCTGTAATGCATCCTATTTCCATGTTTGTTGAATAACGAAGACAAATCTGAGCAGGACTGCTCCGTTGAGCTATGCGTGAATGTCATTGAAAATATTTGTATGAACACACCCAGTTTACTTTTAATACTTTTATACCTTAAATAGTAGATTTTAAATAAGTGGAATAGATTAGTTTCATTTTTATTTAAAACCCTCATAAATTCACTGAAAAAAACATTTCTAAACTGGGCCCATGGTGGTCATAAAATTTATTAATAAACATTATTTACATTACTTTCATAGAGTATGAATAAACTACTTTGTGACTTAAGCCAAGGCATACTTAGCTATCTTATAATTATAGTCCAAATTAGCGAGCTCTCTTAGGCAAATAAAAGAATTTCAAGTGTATACCAAAATTGTAATTAAGTGGCATATTTTCAAAGCTATTGCTTACTGTTCACCTTTGTTGTTTTTATTTTTGTTAAAATGCTAACAATAGATGCAAGATTTTTAAATAATCTTTTATTGATTTAATTTATTGTTATCACCTTTTTTTAAATCGTAGCTATGTTGTGCTCTAAACTTTATTAAAAATTGATATTCTTAAGTTTATAGCCAATTTTAAATCAGATAAATAAAAACAACCTATAATGAGATTACTTATTTTATCATATACTATATACATGTGTATCAGATATATCTATGCAGTGTAGTTTCATTTGAATGTTTTGTTCCTTTATTCTGACTCTAACTAACATTCTCCTTTGCAGATACCCCAAATTATAATGTTGACTTTTGATGGTGCTGTGAATTTAAATAACTATGATCATTACCAAAAGATATTTAATGGAAAGCGTAAGAATCCCAATGGCTGCAACATTCGCGGCACGTTCTTCCTGTCGCACGAGTACAGGTGAGTGACAAGCGTTTTGATGTGAATAAATTGAAATTTAACATCCATATGCATAGAGGTACGAATGTGGGTGAGGCAGGGCCGGAGGCAGTACGCAGTACTTGACTAAAATAGATGCAATAATTTTTTAAATGTATTTATTGTGCGGTTTGCCCTGTATGTTTTCGAAGCGGGGGCTGCTGCTGTTGCAGCAACTGTGCATATTATTTTTGGTATTATATTATTACGCATACGCCATGTTGTCATGCTCTGATGCTGCTGCTGCTGCTGCAACATCTTCATCATCTACTTACTTCACTCAGCCACTGCGAATGTCAAGTCGAGTGTGTAAGTAAGAACACTAAGGGGGAAGCTGTGGAAGCGGGAGGACCCGGGGCCAAGTGGAGTCAAGTCAAGTCATCTGTTTGTCGCACGTTTGCTTGGCTGCTGTGGCAGGCAAAGTTTTCGTGCGTCTTCGTTCTTGTCGTTCTCATCGTGCAAAATACTTGTCACATACTTGCCACGTCCTATGCAACGCCCTCAACGACACGGTGCACAGCACACACCCATACACCCACACACACCCACACACACACACATACTAACGTATATGAAGGAAGTAAAGCGTCAGTCAGGCGGTGCCCTGCTCTACTAATTGTTGTTGATAAATTGGGTCTGACAAAGTTATGTCAACTGCAAAATGAATTTTCGGCAAAATATATGAACTACATTTTGACAGACTTATAAAAACGACACACACAGACACACTTACACACACGCACACATATCAGAACAACAAAGTAAAAGCCGAACAAGTAGAAAGAAAGAGGAAAATGAACAGCACAGCCATAGATAAAGACACAGCAGACAACACACATGAGGAAATGACAACACACAGTGGTTGAAGACAAAAAAGAATGCTCAAACAACTTTCCGCTTAATTTTCAAATGCCTGCAAGACTCTCTTTTATGCTCCAGGAACGTTTATCAAGGAATTGGTAACAATAAGAGTTGTCAGAAAAACTCATTTGAAAAATCATAGTCATTGCAAACACTTTTTTCTTCTACCTGCTCTTATTATTTATGATGGGTTTTGAGTCAAATGCAAGTTCAAATTGTCAATTTCCGTTTTATTCTCTCTAATATCTACTAAAACTTTGAAGCTACCAGATAATGGTTTATATTTATATTTAACAAGCCAAGCAAAATCATTGTACTTGCATAAAAATGTTGAATTTTTTTTAACACCAGTTAAGCAATTTCTTTTCATTTTTAATTCGTGAAACATTTAATTGATAATGTTAAACAACAGCATTGAAATAAAATAATTTATCTAATAAAGATCAACCGATCACAATGATAAGTTGGTTTTATACAGCAGGCTAGCCTGTATTAATGTTTCTGTATACTGTCCGAGTGTCCTCAACTAGAAAACATAGCTGGACTCAGCTACAACATCATAATTGGCTTATATTAGTCATTATTATTTACCAAAAATTTGAAACCGAAAAAAATGGAATACTCAATCCTTATTATGATTGTAAAGCTTCGACTTAGTTTTCACACTTATTCTTTAATTTCAACCTAGGTACGAGTATCTTTATATCAGTATTACTGGTCACTCCAATTGGAAAGGTAATAATTAAATTAAATAATTAAGCTGTAATTACGATTATATTTATTTTACTACAAAATACCTTTTCATTGCACACATAAAACATAAATTGTTATGCATATTCAATGATTAATAAATCTCTAACAGCAACAAGACTGCCAGCTCTTACTCTATTAAATAAAAACAGCTTCTCAAAAACCAAAATTTTAAAATTTCAATTTGAAGCATAATGATTTTTATCAAAGTCTGAGAATGTTGAGAAGTAGATAACGTTTTAACAGGACCGTACTAAACAAATCGCCATCTCACACTAATAAAATCTAATTAAAAGCTATCTTAGATTTAAATGTAATCTTAGATTTTAATTTAAACCACTTTCTCAATAATTTGAGGGCTTTATGTTGCCTTTCAAGACCAAACCGTTAATGACTTTACCTCATCGGCCAAAGACTTCGAGTGTCCGTAATCTGATGACAGAATTATTTTCGATTACTTTACGTATTGAGCATTGTATATGGAAATCAAATCCATAAACTGGATCGGGCATAAGTCTTTGTATAATGATTTGCTAAACAATTATGTATAAAAAATGTGCAATCGACGTTTCGGTTAACGATGTTGTTTTTAATGCCACGCAGACACGTAGAAAAACGCTCTAAATCAAGCTAGAGTAGGTTGTTTGATTACTTTTATTATAAACTGTACTAAAATACCTTTATGCAGCTTTGTAGGTAGGTTTCTTGAATAACCATATCATATCTCAATTGCCCGTTCTTAGTGCAAAGTTTCATTATTTATCCATTGTGCAACGCTACTGCCAAGAATGTCGAAGAGTACGATGACGATGACGACGACGACGTCGACAAGGACAAGCAGGAAAACTAAGTGAGCGGCAACAGTCAAAAAATTTGCGAGCGGTAGCGTGAACGGCAAAATCTTGAGTGAAGTTTAAAAGCTTTTTTCTACTTTTGCCACAGGACGAGAGACGAATGCGGCGGCCATGGCGGCAACGGCAGCAGTTTTGAAGTTGAATTGAAATGCGCTGAATGGCAGTAATTGCCTGAATATGTTACACATGCACACACATGAATGCGCTAATGCTCATGTGTATGTGAATATATACATATGTATACATACATATATACAGCTTTGCTTTTTCGGGCAAATCATTTTTATGCTTTTGCCACGCACACACACAGACACGCAGACACGCAGACACACACATAGTAAGGAAGAGAGACACAAATTTCCTTTGCCCCCTTCCTCCTTCGTGGTGCATTGTAACAAAAAGCTACAACAGAGAAGAAGCAGCACATAAATAGTGGTAAACTGCAACAGTCACAACTATATATACTCGTATGTGCAAGCGCATATTTATGTGCATACATATGTATATGTATGTGTGCATGTAGGTTGCCACAAGAAGCTGCCGAGTTGAGCTCTTTAGTGCGGAAATGATTTAATGCGCTCCGCAACTCTTCAGCTTATTTTGTTAAGATTTCTTTATTTATTTTTTACTTTTTTTGCGACCACATTTTCTGCACTCTGCACTGTCTTGGGTAAAAGCGTTCAGTGTTTTGTATGACGATTTTGATTTGACAAGCGGCGTTGCGGGCAGGGTTGCCATTTCTTGTCGGATGTCGTCGGCATCGCCATGGTGGCCCCAAAAAGTGCGCTACGCTTTTTGTTTCTCTACAGCCGTTAAGGCAATTAGTTTTGTCTCTTATATCTTGTTTGTGGCAAGTGTATATATGTGTGTGCATTATATAAAGCAGGATGTGCACATTTATATATCCCTCTTTGTGAATGACAAATTGCAGCTCTACTCGTTTCCCACTTGACTTTTTAGGTTTACATTGATCAGCATTCATAAGCTGGCACTACTATATTGAATTACAAAGTGAATCAGAAGCATTTAAGAGAGTTCTTTAACCATGACCTAAAGGCTTATTCTTTTAATGCATTGATTCAAATTTGATTGCAACCAAAAAACATGACAAGCATTCAATTATTGCCCAAAGCTTAAAGAAGATTAAGAAGATGAGGTTGCATTCATTTATGTAACACCTATAATACATGTTATACCACAACTCCGCAAACATCAAACCAAACTCACTAAGCCTTTAAACGCTTTCAATAAATAAATCAAGTGGTTTCAGAATAAATGCTGCGCTCCTTCCTCCCTTCCCTAACTTGTTGAGCTAATATGTTGCTGCATTCGTCAATATTTAGCAACAAACATGGAAATTATTTTGATAAATTCCCAACATATTCTAACTCTGAAACATTTCACAGTACAACAAGGATATTTACAATTGTATTATTCAATCCATTTTCAACAGTTCGGCAAGAGTTTGGTATGGTGGGGTAAATGTTTGATTCGACAAACAAATTTAACTTTCGCAAACACAACATTACTTTTTCGACCATTCCCATTTCCACACAATTTTGCGTTTTGCGTTTTGCGTTTTGGGCGAAATCGCGTGATTTAATTTTTGCGTGCACGGACATCCGCAAAATGTTGTTAAAATTGTAGAGGCAGCTGACTGTTCTGGCTCTTGGTTTGCATACGAGGAACAAATTTAACAACATTTTTTCCACCAGAAGCGTATTGCCCAACTATTTTACAATAAAATGCATTATAAACGTACATATGGATTCAAAAATTCAAACACCGAGCACAACTAGCTGGATTGGCTAATAACTCTCTCTCTCTCTCTTCATTTTTTCTCTAAAGTAAATTAATGAGCTATATTATGCCGTTTCGCTTTTATCTTATAACATTTATTTGTAGCTTTATTTTTTAAATAATATTCATAGCGATATTAAAGGCATAGAATAAATAGAACATTAAGTTCCTCAAACGTCTAGAAGTCGGGGATCAGATATTTTTGTAAGTTTTTGTATTTTTGCTTGTAGACTACTTTTTACACTACAAGTATTAGGCTTTTTTATAATATTTCAATCTTAAATTAATACAAAAATGAAATCAAAAACTATTGCATCTTGAGAATATGGGAGTACCAATAACTATGGAATATATATTTCAATTTCAAAAAATACAAACTCTTAAAGCTGTGCTTAAGGGTGAAATATTGAAAAACATTTCGGTATAAGCGAAAGAAAAATTGAATTTTATCAAATCAAATGAATACAAGTATATTCAAAGCATCTAGAGTTAAATGATTTTTTCCTTTGAATAAATTTCAAAATAAAACATTTCCCTCTGATACTGGACTAAATGAGAATGCATTCGCTGCATCTAACCAACAATAACTGCTTGCTGAACAAGTTTAAAAAGAAACGTTTGAAAAGGTGTAGAACCATTTCAAAACTAGCTCCCTGATGGATTTCGATAGATTTCCGGGATATATGCAAAAAAAATTCTGATTTCTTGCCTATTACA